CCATTGTTTTTGTGGTTTTCCATTATTGAGGGGGGAACCATCTGTCGCCGTCCTAGCAACTACTACACAGTTGCTTTGTATTCTAGTCAAGTACGGATAACAATTATTCGAACTCTTGATTTTCAAGAGTTTGAATTAGTTCCGGGGAGGTATTTATTTAATACTCTTGGTTTTTATCATTTGCTATATATATGTTGAGTGTTTATAATCTGTATTTGGAATCTTTTTTCCAGTGTCGTGAATACAATTATTTTGGATATGAAGTTCTTGTATGGACATCGTCCTCCCACGGTGGTAGTACTTGGCAAGGTACATCAATCAATTCTTATTAATACCATGTGGAGAATGACCATAGTTATTATATCTGGTTAAATGTGGACCTATTTCATTTAGTTTCACCCATCTTTGAAATTGGAAAGACTCTGTGATTTGTTACTATACTGATTCATTTCTGATTTTATGGTCAATTTCCAAAGTTTTTTTATTAATGAAACTATTGATGTTTAATGTTGTAGAAATTAGTTGGAGGTCGTTTCCGTTTCGGTGTTAAAGTGCTTGAGTATTCGGATAATGATTTTCATGTGAGAGCCTGGGAGCATCTACCTGGCTACATAGTCGAATCTACACTTTTGATACCTGTACAAAAGGATCCATATGGATTTCTTATCATGGCTAGAGAAGCTTTTAGCTACGTCCAAGAAACAGGACTCAAAACTAAGCACATGGGATCTGTAAGTTTACTCATGTCTTGCTTGTGTGATTCTTTTCATCATTGTATGTGTAGTCACTCTCTTCAAATTCTTTTGTCATATCTAGTTCAATATAAAAGCATATGGAAGGTTTGGTACAGATACTAAAAAGCATAGCTATCTTCTCGGGGATCATGATGGGCGTCTTCTCCTGATAGAGTAAGTCATGATAGAGTTGTTGATGTGCGGCTATTTTCTTCACATTGATGAACTTCTTAATAATTTAATTCATGTAGAATTGTTGTGAATGATTATTTTTAAGACGAAACTATTGAAGCAAACGTAGATTGATGGATCTACAATGTACAAATAAAGTACAAGTTTCTCATGTGTTAAAGAACACCAATCAAGGTCAGAATTAAGATGTTCAAGTGAGCTAATGTCATGCAAAACTCTTGGAAAACCTGTGTCATGCAAGAAGAATATATATTCTTTAAAATAATTTTCAATTAAATTGAGTTGATTGATTTTTCATCAAATTCATTAACATATTTTCTAATTTTTTTTGTTTGAAACCATAGGTTCATAATTATTATAAATTTGACACTAGCATTTGATGATATTTCTATCACCAATCTTTTAAACGCATTTGAAAGTGTAGACTTTTGTTTTTGTTTTGTTTTTCTGTTATAATGTCAATCTTTACTTTACCTTTTTCTTTAATTTTAATCATATGTAGTTGAGTGAATTGGGATAAAGAAGAGGTGAAATGGAACAGTGACGCACCAATGATTTGAAAGCGTCGAATCATATCATTTTTCATAGGTCTACCAATATTTGATCTCTGTCAAATCCAAATCATTATATAATTGATATGGCTCTAATTCTCTAAACCAAAATTATTTATCTCGATTACCAAATATTTTTACATACCATCCAATGAATATTTATAAATGTCATTTTAATTATGTTTATTTTGTTAAATTATTTTATAAATGTCATTTTAATATATGTTATGATAAAGTTTATATATTCTTATATCGACTAGGACATTCGATATAGTCGTTTGTATTAGTTTTATCGTTGTTTTAGCTAGTGAATTGAATATTTTCACCTAATATTACAAAAACCTCACATTGACGATATTTGAATTGTAATTATGAATGGAGTAAAATTATAGTTTTGCATGCGTAATAGATATTCTTTTTAGCCGCAAAGACAAATATGGATTATTACGTTAATTAACGCTTTTAGACCGATTAATGATTTGCTTGGTTTGGTTGAAATTGCAAATAAGCGTGAGGACAAATTAATCATTAGAAGGGAATTTACATCGAACTCATAGTTATTATCTCCTCAATATAAGTTATATAAACAACCACAGAACCTTAATACTTATTAT